TCCGGCCCCCATTCAAACCTTGCCTTTTTCTTAATTGCCTGGAAAAAGTATAGGCATTTGTCGCCTGATCGGCTTAGGAATCTCCCCAAGGCCGCCAGACAACCTGTTAACTTCTGAACCTCTCGGACGGTACGAGGCGACTGCATGTCAATGACCGCCTGTACCTTCTCAGGGTTTGCCTCTATTCCTCTCTGATTGATAAGGAATCCGAGAAATTTCCCAGACTCAACTCCAAATACACATTTCTTGGGATTGAGCATGACATGGTGCCGCCTGAGTGTGGTGAAAGTTTCTCGGAGGTCCGTCAGATGATCTTCTTGAAGTTTAGTCTTGACAATCATATCATCAATATATGCCTCGACGTTTCTCCCAATCTGATCAAAGAACACTGTGTTTATCATTCGTTGGAAGGTAGCCGGGGCATTCTTAAGACCAAACGGCATGACCGTGTAACAGTATAACCCCTGATCAGTGACGAAGGCCGTCTTCTCCTGATCTTTCTTCCATAAAGGAATTTGATGGAAACCAGAATAAGCGTCCATAAAACTCATCAAGGCATGGCCGGCTGTTGAGTCGACTAGGTTATCAATTTTAGGCAGAGGGTAACTGTCTTTGGGGCACGCCTTGTTCAAGTCTGTGTAGTCTACACACATTCGCCAGGTGCCATTCGGCTTTTTAACAAGCACCACATTTGCAACCCAGTCTGGGAAGTAACATTGCCGAATGAACCCTGCATCAAGTAATTTTTTGACTTCGGCGGCTGCCGCCTGACCTCTTTCTTCACCATGGTTCCGCTTCTTTTGCCGTACCGGCTTCTTTTTCGGATCCACAGCGAGTTTATGTACTGCCAGATCAGGACTAATGCCTGGCATTTCATGGACTTCAAATGCAAAGATGTCCTTGTATTCTTTCAACAGGTTGTGAAAGTCATCACCAAGGTTTCTCAGAGCAGTCGTCCCAACTTTGACTGTTCGGTCAGGACGGGAGTCGTCTAATATCAGGTCCGCATGCTCACCAGCCGGCTGAGGTCGGAATTCATCCGGCCGGTCCTCTGCCAATGATTGCTATTTTCTTACTTTTCTTGCGGACTCTGTCTGGGGTGCCTTTCTCTTTTTGTCGCCTGTTTCTTGAACAGGCGCACTCTCCTTGACGTTGTCAAGGTCTGTTTTTTCTCCACTTGACCCGGTGGCCATAACAGTGGGCTTGACATCCGAGAGATAGCACTCTCGGGCCATCCTCTGATCTCCCCTTAGGGAGCCGACTGTTCCATTATCCCTTTCAAACTTAAGCAGCATAAGTGACGGGATTATAACAGCCTTGGAATTATTCAGGGTTGGTCGACCCAGAATCATGTTGTAGGCCGAGAGTTCCTCTACTACTAGGAACCGGACTACCATGTGTCGTCCTTCCCCTTTTTCGCCCAGGCGAATGGGTAGATCTACTCGTCCCAGTGGGTGGACTCCTCCTCCTCCAAACCCTATTAAAGGGTGGGAGGCCGGATGTATGCAGTCCGTCTGATATTTCAGTTTTGACAGACATTTGCTGCTGATGAGATCTGAGGAACTCCCGGTATCTATGAGGATTCGGCCAACTCTCTGGTTGGCCACTTTACATTCAATAACGAGAGGGTCGTCATGCGGCCCCCTTATTCCTCCTAGATCCTCTTCAGTGATGACAATCTCAGGAAATGTATATTTGGACGGCTGTTCTTGGTGAACGGAATTTACATCTAACCGCCTTATATTATCTTTGTTGCCCCTAATAGTGGGGCCGCCTCCTGAGAAGCCGCCTGCAATGGTGTAGACGACTGCATCATCTGTATCAGAACTGTCAGCCTGTTGATTCTTTTTGGCCGACTGCTTTTTTGAGGAAGTGTTCCCCGTAGATTTCTTGACATAAGTGTCAAGATCACCTTGATCAGCCAAGCGGTCTAGGTACCGCATGAGACTGATGCAGTCATTGGTGTGATGACCAACGTCATCATGATAAGCACAGATTTTGTCTTGGTTCCGGTTGCTCGCAGAACCCTTCATGGGGAGCGGCTTCTCAATTGAGAGCCGTCCCTTTATTTCTTTTAGGATAAACTGGTTATCCTTGTTAAACACATACTTTGGGGAGTATGGTTTGAATTCTTTTTTCTTTTTCTGGGCCGGCTGTTTAGAGGAATCAGCCGCCCAGACCTCTTTTCTTTTCTCATCTTTGTTGGACGACTGTTTCTGTCGTCCCTCTCTTTTGTCGAACCTCTTCCCGTCCGACTGTTTTATCGTACACAGATCAGTCGCCTGTATATAGGCTTCTGCTTCAATCAAGGCCTCTTGAAGAGTCGCCACCCTTTTTCGAACTAAATCAAATTTAAAGGTAGACCCGTCTTTGAGACCTCTAAAAAAGTCAGTATAAGCTACCTCATCCGGTAACCCTTGAATCTGTATCCTCATCAGGTTGAACCGCCTGATGTAAGAACGAAGCCCCTCCTTCTCGCCCTGCTGTATTGTTCCCAAATCAAGGGTCGTTTTCTTCGCAGGGATGTTCATAGCAAAGTTGGAGGCAAATAAGTAAGCAAGCGTCCTGAAGTTGTTTACACAACCAGTTGGCAGGTTGCCGAACCATTGCTGTGCAATTCCCTTGAGAGTCGCTGGGAAACACTTGCACCAAGTGGGATCATCCAACCCTTGAAGGTACATCAGGTTGGTGAATGCCATCAGATGGTCTTCTGGGTTAGTAGTGCCGTCATAGGCGCCTACTAGAACATTTTTTACTTTGGCCGGCTGAGCGGCTTCAGTAATTTCCTTGGAGAAGGCCGACGGCTGTTCACCAAGTCTAAGCAGCCGTAGCTGCCAGTCCATAGGTTGGACGTTTTTTGCTGCAGGTCCACCAAATGGAGGTGGCTGCATAAAATACTGTTGTTGCGGCACAAATGGTAAGTTTGGTACCGCCTGGGCACTATGAAAGCCGGACTGACGGGAGGTGCCGCCTGACTGACTCTCATGGTACGACTGAGTATGCCTCATCGAGGCATTTCGCAAACTGTCCTGAAAATTTGAAGTAGAAGCCGACTCTGATAATCGATCACTCTTCTTCTGCTCTAGCAGGTGCCGAGCATCTGTGAACGTTTGCTTTGACCCGTCCGCCTGAATATGACGAACCGGTTTCCTATTTCCCGTAGGATAACGGAGTTTTGTGAAATCAAGAGCAGGTGGCTCCCGCTTCTTGGATTTAGGATGGGGAGTTGCCTCTCGCCCTTGAACTGGCTTCCTCTTCAGTGAAGTGGAAGGTTTCTTGGCCGACTGCTCTTTGACTGAAGCAGGCGGTTTTTTGTTGATCAACTCTTGAATCTCTCCCTTGAAGTCCCTCATGAAGGTCATGAGTTCGTTCCTTGTGATGGGAGCAGACCCATCAGTCGGCTGTTGTCGAGCAAGCGGTGCGCCTGCTGGCTCGCTTCCTGTTTGAAGATGCTCCCGTTCCCTCCTTTCGGTATGGCGGGTACGTCGGGCCCTTAGGGTCCCGTCTGGAGCTGTATGAGTTTCAACTTCAAATTCACTTTCGGTATCATGGTCCGACTGAACTTGAGGGTCGTCTAGGGGACGCCTCTCTTCTGGGGTCGGTACAGACTTGGATGCCATCTCTGAAGTACTCTCCCCACAGACGGCGCCAAATGTTTCGGGGTTTTCTGATGTCCTGCGGGAGAGTTACAATTCTGAGACTGGAACCGGACGCCTGTACCTGCAAAATAACGGAGACTCCTGAGAGTTCCGCCTCCAACGGTCAAGTTAGTACCTGATTAAGGAGTAATCAATACATAAATTAAAGTAATGAGATCTCTCTAGGTGAGAGTGCTTAGTGTTGGTAATTTGCGTCGTTAGCGAGATTAGCCGGTTGTTAATAACTCTGTTCTTCTCTGCTTGATCTCTTGATTATTCGATTCTGTGATTAATGAGGATTAATCGAGTATTTATAGCCTTGAGAAGCGTGCAACTCTCTAGGTTTAAGGTAAACCTAGGGCTGATCGGGCCTCTAGACTGAATTGGGCCTTGATGGCCGGTTTTCCCATTTGGCATGGGTGGACACGTGGCGTGTCTAAATTGGTCCGTAGAGGACGTATCTGTGATTGACACGTGGCAGGCTCCTGTTGGCCTTCGTGAAGGACACGTGGCGGAACCTGGTTGGTCCACTTGTCAGACGGTGATTGGTGGATAAAAATCCCCTAATCATATTTAGTACTAGTGAAAATCTATAAAGTACCATTGAATATACAATAGTTTTATGTGACCATTCGATAAGGACCACACTCTAACTGTACCATTAAAAGCTTATAAAATTCCACTGACAACGTATTTGGTACAGCTACAATCATATATAATACCACCGGAAATATACAATGATATTATTTGATCACTCAATGATACCATGTGAAATTTTGTGCAGAATTATTAGAATGCCCCCGATTATGCGTCAGCAATACTGCTATCCCTTTGAAATGCCTCGAGAGGGAATCTCCTTGTCATAAACCTCTTTCCGATTTATACCATTTAGCGGAAGAGCCATTAATTCATAAAGAGTAAGAGACTTTGACTAAACACTCATTCTAGCAAATCCATTTTCATAGATAATTAATTTTTTAAAAATAATTCCATGGAAAATCTTATTCTATCTAATTACTCTATTCACCCCATAATAATTTACATAGTTAAATTTGACACACATATTAATAAACTAGTTTGACCCAAGATACATATAATCAAACAACACGTTTTCTGTGAGGCTGGCCACACCGTGTGGCCGGCTGACACACGAGTAACCCTCTGACCGAGTAATCCTTAACCATGTAACCCGTGACCGACCGAGTAACCCCTGATCAAGTAACCCCTGAACGACCGAGTAACCCGCTGAATAAGTAACCTCGACCACACGGTGTAACCAAACACGTATAAAACTTGGTGAATAATTAAATTGTAGTAAGAAATATAAAAAAAATTGATAATATGAAACTTTATATTAATACTCATATCTTTTATCAGTATATATAAACATTTATTACACTAATGTGAATTGTCGATAAATATCCAACTTAATACTAAAAAAAAAACTTATCACGTCAATTATTTTGATATGAAAGGAATATAAGGATTTTCCAAATCTAATTTAAAGGTACACCACCCGATTTTATAATTGGACTTGTGAAAAGTGTTGGAACTTAAAAAAGAAAGGAGGAATAAAAAAAAAAAAAAAACATTACATGCGTGCCACCAATTTTCCTTCTATGTTATTCATTTTTCTGTTGTTTTTTGCGCCTTTCGGAGCTTTTCATTTCTACGCTGCACCTCTCTCTCCTTCTGTCTTTCCTCCATTGAAGCGGCTTCCAAGCTTTCTCTTCTCCACTGAAGAATATTCTGTGGTAAGATTCTTGTATCTTTCTATTATAATCGAATATCAATTTCATAACTAGGGTTTATCGTTGATTTAATTATTAGTATAGTCAGTTTATGGGTTCTTCTTAGTTGGATTGTTGAATTATTGGTTATAATTACTCAATTTATGAAAGATAATAGTAAGCAATTTTGTTGATACTCGTAAGCGAGAAGAATTTTATGTGATTTTAGAAGCTAATTTGATGATTTAAATCAATTCGGTTGGTTGCTAATGTGTTGCATGCTTTGTTTATAACCCTTCAATGTTTGGATGGAAGTATGAAATTGGATTTTTTTATTTTTTTTTTGTCATTAATCTCAGGGCATTACCCCTCGTGTCCTAGCTCAGGGTCGGGTTTGATTACGATTGAATTTGAAATTAAACTACATTTTGATTGTTATCATTATTAATTGATAAGAGTTATTCATTAGTTGATATAAATCAATTGGATATATGCAATGATTGATGGTTTACATTGTTGTCATTGTGTGTTTGAGAAAATTTGATTATTCAATCTAATTAAGCATTTATACCTGTGAATTACATTTCAGAACGGAGAGGAAATATAGGAGGATTTATTATTTGAAATGTCAAAATCTTGTTACCAAGAAAATTCCTTCACGAGAAATTTGAAAAACCATCTCCACTCCTTGATAAGTGAACAAAACATTCCTCGAAATCTATCAAGTCAACAAAATTTCTTTCCATCACACAATTTTTTTTAAGTTTGTATGAAAGTTTATTAGGTTTTGTGTTTATTTAGTACGTGGTGGTGGTGCCCTGCCACTGCTAAATTCTTGGATTCACCACTACTTTCAACCTTCTTTTCCTCATGTACTTCATCTTTCTAGTTTGTATTGTTTTTCTGGATTTATTTTTGTTGATTTTATTTTTAGTCTCATGTGGGGATGATGGCTTATGCTTGATATGATATTTTTAATGTTTGATTCTTGTTGTTAAATACTTGTATATTCTATTGGGGTTTTTGTTGACATTGTTTTGTTGTTTTATGTCTAATTAGTCTGTGATTAAGAGGTGATTTGTCTTATTATATTTGACCTGTATATTTGTTTTTGATTTGAAAATTTGATGATACAAGAGTTCTTGTAGATCTTACAAGCATGAACAAATTGTGTACTATGATTTTGGCTTTGATTTAAAGTTTGAGTGTGTTTTCAATTTCATGGATCTATTAAATTTATTCTAACTTACTGAAGAATTTCGGAAGGAAATCTTGTTGAATTGGTTTGAATATCTTCTGTTTGGTAATTAAAATTGTATTTTGTATTGGATTGATACGTGTTAGTTTTGGCTTATTCCCTTGTAAGTAAAGAATTTAATGCTACCCTGTTGTGGAGATATTATATCCGTCCTTGATATTTTAAGATTAGAAGTCTTCAACCAACATTTCTGTGATAAAATAAGAAAGTATTTTTATGGGACAAAACCATGTTATGATGCATACTTTGAAATATTTTTCTCCTTTTTCATCTTTGATACTTCCTGCCTCCCTTAATACAAAGCCTCATTTCCTTTCAGGGTAAACCAAAATACAATGGCTTTTCTATTTAAAGGTTATATTTTTTGACATTATTACCCTCTTTTTGATGAGTTGTCATCTTTTTTCCTTTACTTTTTTGTACTTTTAACATCAACTTCTAACACTTTCTCTCTCTATCTCTTCAATTATTCCCAATTACTTTTTCTTTCTCTATATCTCTCCAACCCCACATGCACATATGTACTTTTAATCATTAGTTTTAAAAAATTTACAACTTTCTTAATTCCCGCGCAAAAACCAAAAGAGGCTTTGTATTAGGGGACGGAGGGAGTACTAATTATCTTTAGTTTGGCTTCAACTTTGATGTTTTTTATTATTAATAAATTAGTACTAGTACATATTAAGGGTTAAATGTTAGAAGTTTTGATGTTAGATTTTTTTTTCTCGATGCCCCCCCCCCCCAAAAAAAAAAAAAAACCGTGTCATAAAATTAATGTAACTTACGTACGTGATAGTATTCTAAAGATACCTTACTGCTTGCTTTGAATCTATGTTTGAAGGATTTTCTTAATCATAAGGGTAATAGGAGTTCTTATGGCCATGTAGGGACCTGTACACTACTAGTGGCACTTTCTAATTAACTTTAACAGTGTTAAATAAGAACAAAAATTAATGTCAAATAATGCTATAAATTCTTGAAATGGGAAGGATCAATGATGTCAAACTTGTACTTCCTATACAGTTAACCAATATAATGTAATATGATAAACAGCTTGAGAATGACTTAATAAGTTTTCAAGATGGAGGGAGCAACTTTTAGTGAGACTAGAATTTCTGAATGTTGCCCATACAAACACAAATGATGACTGACAAACACACAAAGTGACATTTAGTGGAATTTCTCTAATTATCCATTATTGGGGCAGATTATTATAGATGACAAAGAATTTCACTTTTGTGTTTATGTGTTTGTCTTAATTTTTTTTACTAACATGTAATTAAAGATAACAATCCTCAAGTTGCCCTTTGGAGACCGTTAAAAAGAAAATGTTAGCTGAAATCTCGTGTTAGTTAGCCTTAGATGATCCTGTCGAACACTTGCCCACTTTATCTCAACACCCATTCTTATTTAGGTTGCTTGGAAATTTGGATATTGGAGAAGCATCCCCTTAAGAAGAAGCCTAGGATCTTTTGAAAAAAATTTCTCTCACCATTTCACAGTGTCATCCAGACAGATGTTGGCGGTTTCATATGTCATTCCGTCTAGCTGCATTAACAGATTTTATGTCCGAGATTTTTCACGTGATCTCCGACCGGCCTATCACCACCTTAAATACAAGAAGAGATTCAGGTGTTGCTCCACCAATCAGGTTCCTTGTAATCTCTCTTGTAGTTAGGTTAGAATTTTCCTATTCTAATTACATTTGTTCATTATATGTTAAAAATCTGCTTGTACTGATAAGCTGAAACCTATGGATTCAATCATTGTATAAATTTAAATTATTAGAATGTTATTGAAATGCTCGTGGTTTACTTGTTTGAAAATTATGTCTAGAATCATATCACATGCCAGCAACAATGATACCTTGTGCTCATTGTGTGCTTATATTCTTTGAGAATCATTCTAGTGATAGGATGCAGACAGTGCAATTTGAAAAGTAATGTTTTATTTCACACTATATTTTAAATTATGAGGTGAATTGCCATTTAGTTTAATGATACTTTTAATATAAGTCTCACATTAGCATAAATAACATTTTGTAAATTTTATTTTATTCAAAGGCTCTTCACTTTCTGATTGATCTTGATCCCTTCAAAAATGAGCATTATGCGTTTTGCTCATGATGTGTCTTGGTCGTCTCATAATAGTGAAATTTCACTATTCCATCTCGATACAAAAGGAATAGTGAATTTTTTTTTTCTTCTGAATAAGGAATATATGCCCCTTAAGCTGCTCTCACCAAAAATCTCCTCGTCTCGCCTTAAGCCACCTTGTGTGAAATAGTTAAACAACAGATGATCACGGGAATTATGATTGATTACTATGGTTATTAGAGTCTAAGATAGTTTGGATTCAGATTGCTAAGCTAGGACAAGATCTCGTGGATATAACACCTTTGGAAAATGACATTTAATTTTTTTTTGGATGAAATCATGGATTGATTGTCCTTCTCGTTCTCTTAGCATGGACTGCTAGTGGTTTTTCCAAGAGATTGTTTCCAGCCTTTAAACTGACACCGTATAAGATAATGAAGTTGATATGCTGATGCAAATACCACTGGTATAAAAATCCTAGTAAGATAGTTTTTGGCAATTCAACATAGTTGGTACTTGGTTGCGGATATAGAAACTACACGAAGAGCAAATAGAGATAGGAAACTTTGGTTATAGAATAACCACCGAGGGGATCAGCAGATTAATACTTAAACTATAATCCTAAAATAATTTCACAACTAGTGTCTTTATTTTTACATTTTTCGCAACACTCTCCACAATATTGCCTGATTTATTTTTTGTGACTTTGTGGGTGTTATTTTCCTTAACTTGTACCTCCAAAGTTCCAATTTGTTATTTTCCTTAAGAGAGAACCTTCTATCAACTGATAAAACAGTGAAGTTGTTTTGCTTTACGAAGAAATAATATGTTAGGTCAATGTCTGTGTTATGCATGGGTGTTGTATTATGTTATGAGCCATCTATAAATTTTGGACCTTGGCACTTTAAGTATATTTAGAAAATCATTTTAGGACTAAGGCTTTGTTGTTGTATATGGACATATACAGTTTTTTAATGTTAGATTTGTTTCTGACAATTTTTGTTCAAACCTCTCAGCAGGAAAGTTGCAGTTTAGGTTCTGCCACTCATCTTCCTACAATGCCAGGAGGGGAATTCAATGTGCCTCCATCAGTGCCTCAGCTGCCAGCAGAGACCAATGCAAATGACGAGGCTTGGTTGTGGGCTCAGATCAAGGCTGAAGCTCGTCGTGATGCTGATTCTGAGCCCGCACTTGCTTCCTACCTCTACTCCACAATCCTTTCTCACTCCTCTCTTGAACGATCGCTCTCCTTTCACCTAGGCAACAAGCTTTGCTCCTCAACTTTGCTGTCAACCCTCCTATATGACCTCTTCCTTAACATCTTGTCTTCTGATTCTTCACTGCTTGCCGCTGTTGTTGCTGATTTGCGTGCTGCCAGAGTCCGTGACCCGGCTTGTGTCTCCTTTTCTCACTGCCTTCTCAACTACAAGGGCTTCTTAGCATGTCAATCTCACCGTGTGGCCCACAAGCTCTGGAATCAGGATAGACGCCCCCTTGCTCTTGCCCTTCACTCCAGAATATCCGATGTCTTTGCTGTTGACATCCACCCTGCTGCTAGAATTGGAAAGGGGATCCTCTTTGATCATGCCACTGGGGTAGTTATTGGAGAGACGGCAACAATTGGTGACAACTGTTCGATTTTACACCATGTAACTCTTGGGGGAACGGGAAAAGCTGGAGGTGATCGTCACCCCAAGGTTGGGGATGGAGTTTTAATAGGTGCTGGGGCAACAATCTTGGGTAATGTGAGGATTGGTGACGGGGCAAAAATAGGGGCAGGATCAGTGGTGCTGATTGATGTTCCTCCGAGAACAACAGCTGTGGGGAACCCGGCAAGATTAGTCGGAGGGAAAGAGAAACCGTCACAGAATGCAGATGTGCCAGGAGAGTCTATGGATCATACCTCATTTATTTCAGAGTGGTCAGATTATATCATATGATAGATAGATTGTTATAATTCATCTATGTACAAATTCTTGTTGACTCTTCCCCTGTAGGCTGTAGTAATGTCCTCGTTTTAAAAAGTTATACCATTTTGAATCATTACATTTAAATTGTAGTATAACTAATCTATTTGTTTAACCATGCATTTGAGTTGTCAGGAATAGCTCCAAAATATATAAACAATTATTAACCTTTTGAAACTTAACTAATTAAAAAAAAACTAGATGGCAAAGTCGGGTGGCTGATGCTACTATGTTGAATAAATGTAGAGAGATTGTGGCAGAGTTGGATGAGCTACATAGGTTCGAGGAGTCGTACTGGCATGCAAGGGCGAGGGCAAATGAATTAAAAGATGGGGACAAGAATACTTCGTATTTCCACCATAAGGCTAGCCATCGACAACAACGCAATCACATTGTGCAGTTAGAGGATGAGAACGGCATTGTGCATGATGAAGTGGAAATGAAGAGAATTAATTCTGACTACTTTACGGATGTTTTATCTTCTTTTCCTATAGATTTTGATGATTCTATAGCAGGAAATTTTTGATGCTCTTTCCCATATGCACCCGAATAAGGCTCCTGGAGTTGATGAATTGCACGCCTTATTTTATCAGAAATATTTGGCACATTGTTGGTCCCAATATTGTCGATATTATTAAGGATTGGTGGAATAATGATCACAATCTTTCAGATGTTAATAAAACTTGTATCTGTAGGCGTCATTCGAAACACGCCTACGTTAAACATGTTGTAAATATGCATGACACTCATAGGAAGTGGGAATTGACATATACGATTAGGGACAAAGCAAAGTAGGGAGCCACCAACAAGTTTTTAAGGAACTTGTAAACCGTTCACGGATCATTAAAAGGCAACCACTATTAAGGGACAACGAAAGCAACAACGATTGACCCGTGAAGGTTACACCCCATTCATAATCCATGAGATTACTAACTCCATATTGTTCGGAACCACGAAAAGAAGATCGGGGATGATGGTACAAAGTGAGTCATGGAGTCATATTCGCCCGTATTGGCTTCTACTCGATTCTTATAGCGAAAAGTAATTCCTGCGATCTCAAAGGCATACAAATAAAGATTCAATTTGCTCCAAACTTTTATTAAGTTAAATTGGTTGAATGTTAATGCAACATATAATTCTAAAATATTGTGATCACTTGATTAAACAACAAGATTAAAAAGGAACCTAAACCGGTCGTCTAAATTATTTTATTAGGCGTTATATTCAATTACATATTCCCTGTAACATGCAATATAGTGTTCAAAACAATAATAAAATCATCATTAACATTGGAAGCAATTCAGCCACAATAACGTTAGTCAAATCAAATCATAATAATTACCCTAATCATGATACTAGCAATAAGAATAAGAATAAAAATAAGAGTAATTAAGTGAATTAATTACTTACGTTCCGCGCTTCTTTAAATTGCTACATCATTAATAAATTGTTAGTAACTTCAATAAAAATATAAATCAAATTGAAATTAAATTAAATAAAAAGTGGAGTTGATTTGGTCCAAACCCTCAGTCTATTCTACCTTTCACGCCTTGGTTTAAGTATGAAACTTTGGGTGTTGTATGGACTCTTTGGAGTGCTTAGGGGAAGTATTAAGAGAGAATAGGGTGGCTAGTGTTTAGGCACTACAAGAAAACAGCCCATTTCCGACGGACTGGTTCCGACGGACACGTAATTCCGTCGGAAAAATCAAAATTTCTGACGGATTTTTTTTTTCCGTTGTATATTTCCGACGAATTCAAGCAATCCGTCGAAAATTCGTCGAAAATTTCCGACGGAACATAAATTCGTCAGAAATTTCCGACGGAATATAAATCCGTCGGAATATAACTTAAAAAAAAAAGAAAAAAAAATGAAATTTCTTTTCCAAACCCTAACCCTAACCTTTTTTTCTTCCGCCCCTTTTCTTTTTTCCCTCTCTTCTCTTTCTCTCTCCTGCGCCCCTTCTTTCCTCTCTTTCTCTTTCTCTCTCCTCTTTTCTCTTTCTCTCTCATCCTGGTCGCCTCTTTTCTTCTCCTTCTTTCCTCTCTTCTCTGTCCGCCTCTTTCTTCTCTTTCTATCCTCTATTTTCTTCTCCTTCTTTCTTCTCTTCTTTGTCCGCCTCTTTCTTCTCTCCTCTTCTTTCCCCTCTTTCTTCTATCCATGACCAACACCATCGACATCACCAATAACCAACAACAACAACAACAATGGAGACCACAACCACCTTGCAACAACAACGACGACCATAACAACACCGACAACAGGCAACAACATCAATTGCACAGCCACCGTCGCGAGAATTGTCAACCGTACAAGTATTATAGATCTAGTTTTAATTTTTTTATAAATTTCTGATTATGGTTAATATTTGAAGTAATTGTAATATTAGGTTATAAATTGTATGAGATAATTGTATATTTATCTAATTCCTTAAATTTTTTGTGGTTGATTTTATTTTTATTTTTACTGAAATTCGGAATGTTAGATCTTGTTTCGCTTTTTTTTTTGGGTTGATTGTCGTTGTTTTCGTGGTTAATTTTAGATCTACATGTTTTTCATTATTAGATCTACCTGTTTTGGTGGTTAATTTTATTTTATCTTTTTTTTTTTTTTTTTTTTTTTGTTTTTGTTTTTGTGGTGAACGGTGGTCGTGGTGTGGGGTTTGGGCTGGTGGTGGTCATTGTTTGAGGTTGTGGCTGGGGAGTGGTGGGGGCTAGTGGGGAGTGGTGGGGGCTGGTGGGGAGTGGTGGCGGTTAAAGGGGAAGTGAGGTCGTGGGGTGGTGATGGTGTGGGGTGGGGTGGGGGGCTTTTTTCTTATTTTTTATTTTTTATTTTCTGGGTTTGATTTTCCGACGGAATTTCCGTCGGAAATTTTCGGCGGATTTGTTTCCGTCGAAAATTTCTGACGGACTTTTCCGGTGGCGGAATTCCTTTTCCGACGGAAATTCCGCTGGAAAAGATCGTTTTTCCTACTAAAGGTTTTCCGACAACCCCTTCCAACGGAAATTCCGTCGGAAACAGGTTTTCCAACGGAATTCAAGGTGATTCCGACGGGATTTTTCCGTCGGAAATGGCACTACTAGAAAACACCTTATTTACGACGGAAAAAATCCGTCGGTACGCCTTATAAATCCGTCGGAAAAGGCTGTTTCCGACGGATTTCCGTCGGAACACGTTGTCGGAAACCCCTTTGTAGGAATTTTGGCATATACCGAGGGATTTTCCGTCGGAAAAGCTCCTACCGACGGAATAGATGAAAAGGAACAACAAGTTAGTAAGTTATACAAATATGCTAAGCTTTGGGTACCATATTCATGAAAAAATAAACAAAGTAATATGACGAAGGTGACTTCATTTTCTTCATTTTCGACCAAATGAACTATTTCTTTTTCTAAACATGTATATTATAGGTATTCTAAGGGGTGCATGACTTGAAATGCCAAAATAAACTAACTCCCTAAGGTTTGGGACGCATTTTGAGCCAAATTGAACCAACTATGGCCTGTATGACCTATTCTTTGCCCATTTTCTTCATTTTCGACCAAATGAACTATTTATTTTTCTAAACATGTCTATTATAGGCATTCTAAGGGGTTAATGCCTTGAAATGCCAAAAAAAAAGTAACTCCCTACGTTTTGGGTCACATTTGGAGCCAAAATGAACAAAGACTTGCCTATATGAACTATTATTTGCACATTTTCTAAGTTTTTTTACCAAATGAACTATTTCTTTTTCTAAACATGTGTATTATAAGTATTCTAAGGGGTTCATGCCTTGAAATTCCAAAAAAAACTAACTCCCTACGTTTTGGGACGCATTTGGAGCCAAAATGAACAAAGACTTGCCTATATGAACTATTATTTGCACATTTTCTAAGTTTTTTACCAAATGAACTATTTCTTTTTCTAAACATGTGTATTATAAGTATTCTAAGGGGTTCATGCCTTGAAAGGCCAAAAAAAAACTAACTCCCTACGTTTTGGGACGCATTTGGAGCCAAAATGAACAAAGACTTGCCTATATGAACTATTATTTGCACATTTTCTAAGTTTTTTACCAAATGAACTATTTCTTTTTCTAAACATGTGTATTATAAGTATTCTAAGGGGTTCATGCCTTGAAATGCCAAAAAAACTAACTCCCTACGTTTTGGGACGCATTTGGAGCCAAAATGAACAAAGACTTGCCTATATGAACTATTATCTGCACATTTTCTAAGTTTTTTTTACCAAATGAACTATTTCTTTCTCTAAACATGTATATTGTAGTTATTCTAAGGGGTACATGCCTTGAAATCACATAAAACTACATGTCCCTAATTTTTCAGTACCATATTCAAGCAAATTGAACCAAGGAGCTAAGTTTAGGGAAAGTGTTACCGCAATTTCCTGAGCTGTGGGGTTTACTGGCACTGTGCCTTTCTCAGGCAGCTCCTTAAAGTGTGTCTTCAGAAACAGCTCTGGAGCTGTTGGTAGCTGGCCCTTGTTCTTCGCCGTCTTTGATACAAAAAATATGAATAAACGTTAACCATGTCACACCCTTGTTACATTGAAATACACAAAAAAGTCTACTAATATAATATCTTTTTAAATAAACTTACCATCCTTTTTACATGTTGGAAAGCAGACAACAAACCCTAAAAGTGGGTCCCTCGGACGAGATTTTCCATAGAACCGCCCCTTCTGTTCTTCTTGTTCTGCGCCGACCTCTCCTTGTAAGTTGGATCTGTGGCAACAATGTCCATCATCTCCTTGTGGATCTCCTCACTCAACCAACTTGGCCTGGCGCCATTCATCTTGTGCGTGATGGTGTGGAACATGTCACGCAGGCGTGTGGCTACCCTCCTCCGAAATGTGAGCTTCACTAGTTCGTCCATCTGAGGTGCCCATTTGAATTGTTCCTGCAAATGATAAAATACAAAAGTGTTACACAAAACTAAATCCGTACAATAACTAAAACATATATTATCCTAATTGAACCAGAAATATCATACGCTGAACAGGTTGAACCAGTGTTCCTTCTTAGCTACAGGAACTTCTCCAAAGTTCCTCCAAGGGGCTCGGTAGTATCCAGTAATCGTACCGGATACCGCACTCCGAACCTTAGGATCATCAAACCTATAACAAACGGGAA